ATTGGATTACGAATCCATTGTTCATACAGCAATATTTTAGAATATGTGAAAACCTTTCATTTTTATGAGCTTCTTTTGTGTATTTAAACAGCGTTTTCGCTTATAATGATATCATGGCAATTAAAAGCGAGCAATAAATGTGCTTGTGTGTATTAAGCAGATTCCAGTTGTTCTACATACAATAAGCCTACGCAAATTAAGATTATAGCAACGATAAAAGTAGCTTAAGTAGTAACTAATTTCGAAATCATTAAAACTATCCAAGATATCTTTACAGAGGCCTATATAAGCAAAATGATATTTGCTTCGATGTAAGATAGCTTTTAGCCAATGAAATTCCGAACAGTTTACTCAAGTTTATTTATACATTTCTTTAAGCAGTTGTTACACTTTTGTAATAATATATCCTGACTATTAGAGGAATGTCACAAACTAGCTTTGTGACAAAGATAACGTAAAACAAATCTCTATATTACTATAGTCTCCGGGATTCAGAATCCGTTAACTATCTAACAAGAATTTAGACGCCTTTGCTTCTAAGTTAAACAACTATAGAATTCTCATTTTATTTAGCTATCTGTCGAGCTTAAATATATTTCGGCAGCAGCTATCATGTACAAGTAATAGCAGTTCATGAAATTTACTTCATATTGGATGGCTAAATTAGTACAGAAATTATCCATAATCTTAGACATGTACTGAACGATTTTAGATAATTAGACTACAGTATGTCCTTGTACAGAATTATTTGTGGTGTCATCAATGATTGGATATCTTCAGGATATTCATCATAAGCATTACAAGATATAGCACGCTAATCAATTAGCATTGCTTACCGTAAACGCACTCTCACTAAAGTAAAGCATAATTTATTGTAACAAAATAATAACTACCGCTGTTCTTACTGTAAGTCATTAATAGTTATCTCCATATATAAACATTAAGCACTAAATTTAGTCATTTACTCTACACAGTCGATGGTATCGTGACAAGGAATTCCTAAGGTACTCCGGCTATGCTGCTACGAGAAACACTATAATATTTTAGCTTTGTTAATACTAGATTGCACTACGATTGGGTCACTTTGAAACAAGATGGAGGTTAGAGGATAAGACCGATTTATTTATTTATTATATTTTATCTATCAAGCCATTTACAGTAATCAGTGAGTCCTGCAAATAAGTATAACATTATACTAGTTGACACAATCCATCCAATACTATCTAAAGTAATTTAGATATTATTTACGAGCTATTATATTAAAATCTTAAATTACATTATGATTCATCTTTAAATCTACCAAATAAAAAGAAATACTTTATAAGGAGAATACTAAATACTAAGCTTCATTTAAACGCATATAAATATATTAATACAAAATGCCTTTATCTAAGATTACCGATTCTCGATCCCAATACTTCTAATTTTCCACTTATTCTTAACTTGTAAGTTAAGCACTTACGATTTATCACGACTGTACCTCATCTGTTGTTCAACAAACTACTAAGCCTAACGTTACAGTAAGTTGGTAATGCAAATACAATTATATTCCTACACTTTTAGTGTGTAATACGGTTACTATAACAGCCATAACGGTTACATTATATTTAGCATTTTGTTCGATCAAGGATTGGATTCACTCAATTCTTAACATCATGATATTGTAAAAGAAAGTTGATAATCTTACTAACACACCAGTTAGAGTTGCGTGGCATACCTAATTACATTGACGCTTGTATCAGATAATCTTATTTCCTTATAGTATTATTCCCTATAATAGAATGGCAAAACTCAAGAATTATACTTTCGATTGTAAGATTCTCACTGTAAGTTTTACGAAGTAAAAATAAAATTCTCCACCTCTACCCAAAAGAATTGTTATAATGGAAAAATTGGCATAGTACATGAAGTTCAGTAATAAATGATTTGGACACCCATTCTAATTTGATAGAAATAGAACGATGTATATCAGGCGATCCTTAGCAATTTATAGTAAATATTGCGTTACTTAATCCGTGGATAATGTATGAACCGACACATTTTGGCAATGATTTCAATTAAGCCACATCTTAGGAAATAATTAATCCTACTTTTCAACTAATGGTTACACCGTAAGAGCCTTTAATTGCCTTAAATGAACTTTTCTCTATAAATCTCTAATAACAGCTCAGGTGTAGTAAATAGCCTCATATAGATAGCACTAAATCAATTTTGAAAATAGAAAATTTAGCTAGTAAATTTTTGAGATGATAGGAAAAACAGGGTTTGATTAAATAATTAATAAGACAGTAATAAACTGTCAATATAAGGAATTTAATGCGTAAGCTAAGTATATTAAATAGAAAAAAAGAGTGTAAAAGTAAAATATAAGATTGCAAAGAGTCGTTCTGAACACTAAATTTTAGACTAGCTTCAATAAACCTTAAGCTTTATGTGCTGTTATGAGCCGACTGTTATTTCGAACTCAATTTGTCCAACTTTATTGTGTGTTTCATGAGTGATATAGATAGGATTTAGTCAGCCTTATTACAAGGCAAAGACTAGGAATTATTCACAATTCGTTTACAAAAAGTCATGGATTATCGAGAGGTAGAAAAGAAACAGGTTCCCAATTCAAGGATCCGAATAGATAAGGAAAGAATTGAAAAGTAGTAATAGATAGTAATGTATTATATACTACTGTAAATTATCGTGTAACTCTTCTATTAAGTAGATTGTAGGTGCATCCTTCATTGTGTATTAGTATAAAAAATTATTGGAAGTGATTAAAATAGTATCGTTATTACTTAAGGATAAAATAGTCTTGGCCGCATAGCATTAAGTAAGTCCTTGTAGATTGGTCGGAATAAAGAATAGTACAATAATAAAGCATATTACTCTTCTTATTAGCAATTTTTTAATTCTTTATTTAACTTAGCACTTCTCCTTGCATCTTATAAAGCTATGCTATTGACTTTAATGTCGCTAATTATTAGGGTAAAGTAGTTTTACTAAATATCAAGGAAAAGTTTCTAGTCGATAGGTTCTTTTATTATATTATTCCGTAATACTATGACTGGTTAAAAATTAATTAATCAATTAATTGATTCTTTAAATAAAATTATTTTATATTTAAGACTTCTATACTTCATTGTGGGCTAGCACCAATGGAAGCGCTTACAGAGCTTGTGTTTTATAGTACAAGAAGTACCAAGCCTGCACGTAATATAACTATGTATTCGAATGTAGATTACTAACCATGCCTAGTATGATGCATGGTGGCGCAGCTTTCTATATTTGGTATCAAAAGGCATGTTTAGCTGCTCATATTAACAAAAGTTTCTATACTTGGATAATAGGTGATCGATCGTAGTGCATGTTGCTCTCTGTAATGTGAATAATTTTAAAATAAATTAGAACGATAATTATGCTATTGTCACAATTTCACTTCTACGACAAGGTAACGTACAGTAAAAGTCTATAAGTAGCTGCTGACTATATTAAAGGTCCTTTTACTTAACGTTAAACACAAATCTACAACTTTATACAGCACCACTCAACTCAAATATTCCCGTTTATATAGGAACCGCCTAATTTGCAAACAACAACAGTATTATTATTATACCTTACTAGGAGAAACATCTTGAACTGAGATGTTCCTTACATAGCTTTTCTATTAGTAAATATTTTGAATCTCTTACTCATACTTAATCTTAATCTAAGCTCTTAGGTTGTCTACTTCAACTATCATCAACCAGAACTTGAATCATCTTACTGCTATCTATCACACAATAACAATCAATATCAAATATGTAATGAACTATTACAAACAACATCCACGTTAAATCATTACTTATCTTTAATGGTACAAATATGGATATTCTCCATACTAGCTACCGCTGTACTTATTAAACTATTCTAATGACAAGGCAACACCGTAACAGCTATATAGCTGTAAATGGCTATTAAAATTGTCCCCATACCAGCATAAGCAGGAAACTTTAACCTATTCAGTAGTTCCTTCTAAAATCCTTCTAATGGTTGTATCCAGCTAGACTAGAGTTGTATGCTTATTATCTTTACACAAAGATCTAATGAAGTTCTAATTTTCAGCAGAGTTTAAAATTTGGTGATTGATTTTATCACACGGCATAGTATAGGCTAAAGTATAACGAAGTGACACAATTCATGTAGCACCGTTATTTGTAGCTGACTCTTTTGACATTATCTCTAATGCGATATTATCGTCGGACAATAAGACTTACGAAAACTCTATATTTTGGCAAGTCTTTTCTTCCGAAATGAATTTTAAGTTTTATCTTCATACTTATTCATTTCTCAAGTAGGTTAATTTGATATTGATTTGTTCAATGACTCTCAAGTATCAGAATAAGGATAAGCTTCTTTTACTTATGCTTAATTTTAAAAATAGTGTCACTGGTATTTTCTTTGCTGAAATTGTTCGACTGTTTTCTTATTTGTTTAATGAGTTTATTGATTTAGAAGAAATTCAATTAGCAGCAAGTCCTGCAAGTAAAATTATTATAAATGTATTTTTTTACAATAGGTTTAGAAATAGATCTTAGGGTTTGTAGCAGTATCGAATAATCTTATCAAAGAATTATAGCTGATCATAGCAGAAATTTGAAAAAGCTTTTGAGAAAGTTCTTTGTGCTAGTCTAGTCCACTTAGTCAGAACTTAATCCTCCACTTCCATTAATTGTCGCACTTTACCCATCTTAGAAAAATCTTTATCATCTTTCAATTTATGAGGTATCGTTAATATCTATCTTTAATTATTGCATATCAGATGTAATAATAGTTAATTTCAACTTTTCTGTCGGATAAAAGGCACAAAAGGTTGTATTCATAGCTGGATAGTTTGGTAGTTTAGAATTTTATAAATAGAAAAGAAATTGGAACATATGCCAAATTAAAGTAAAGTGCTTTATTCCAATCGTATAGTTTTAAAGCACAATTATAGTAAAATTTTGTATATTTCTTTATCAAAATCACAGACAATGCGTATTTTAGATGAAAGTTATTTCTCAGCATCGCATACCGGTAAATTCCAGGGCACTTCGAACTATCGTAGTGCTATATTTTTGACGTACAATTATTTACTTTGATGAACTTATGTAAGTACATAGACTTCCGTTACTAGTATATGATTCGCCGTATTTATCATATATTATTTCAATAAGCTTTTAATAGCGCTTCAGCCGATATTTGTAACTGAAGAATTGAGGACAAATTATTTCCCCCTTGAAGCTTGATGACTTGGTATCCATAAACTTTGACCTGAATCTTTAAGTTATTAAGGACTGTTCCAGTCATGAAAACAACTTAATTATCGATTTATAGTTTATTATACCATTTTATTTTGAACTCCTTAGAAATATCGTGCACTCCTCAAGGAATCATTACTCTTAGTGATAAAGTTAATCCTTATGATATCACGACGGAATAGTCATGTTTCAAGTATGCTAACTGATTTAAAATTGCTTATTTGAAATAGATCACAATACGGTAATGGTATTTAATGCAATTTAATCCAGCAATTTAATGCCTCAAATTAGATTACATGTTTTAATTATATAATTATCTTTCATATGGCCCCATATTTCCCTGATTAAAGCTGCTTATATCTTGAGCCCAATATAATTTTCCGCCCGAATACTACTTGGTTGTAAGTTAAAAGATGCGATACTCTTTGATCTGCTTGGTCAAGTTAACATTAAAGGCAGTCTCATAAAATTTAGTTGACAATGAAAATACGATTTCTTACCGTCAAATAGATCAAGTCAGCCTACACTATCAAGGTCTCACAATAGTACGTTCGCCTATAAGTAGATTTTAGAATACAATTTCCTCTTGTAAACAATCTAGTTCAAATAAAATTCAATAACAATTCATATATATATTATTAGTAATTCATCTAGAACTACAGTATGCAATTTACCATAAACCGGATAATATAGCAAGTCTTCCTACTCCAAGGGCTTACAGTGAAATTCAAAATTTCCATTTCATCAACCAGATAGCAATTTGAACTAACTTCCGATATCTAGAGGGTATCAGGTGAAGTAAAAATTGTAAGTGTGAAGCTATGCCAATGGTTTACCATTCATACATTATTAAGGAAACAAGAATTAAATCATTTGAATTTCGCGGAAATGTCACCACAAACACGAATCTAAGTTAACTGTTAGTAAAGTCGGTCTAGTAGCACCGGCTTACCTGCATTGACTACGCTTGGATTTAAAGTTCTTGTCATCGATTACAAAAACTGAGATAATCTGAGTTTGTTGCAGTAATATTCTCTTTCTAAATACCGGATTACTTAAAACAATACAACAACTTAAACTGACATTAATTATTTTGGGCTCCAGATGCAGCGCAATTCAGTGTCTAATATTTGCCAATTTGTGATTATCCTTGCCTTTTTTACATTCGTAAAATCAGGTAAGGTTGCAACAATCGATAAATTTACGCATTTTAGGACATATAAAATTTCGTTTAACATAGTTGTGGTCTATCATGACCATTAAAGAACTAGCGAATTGTTACAGTGAAACATTGACTCATCATTTAATAAAGAAATTATGCTTTTACTTAGTTTCCATGATTTACCGGTAATTAATAAATGGTAGTAATACCAGCCGACTTTTCGAAAGTCCTACCTAGCTAGATAAAATGCATAGCCACTGAAATTATTGCTAATATTTTTAATTTTAGAGGACAACGTAATCTGTTCCGAGTATTGTCAATGTGCTAAAATACGAATTGTTTGTGATGATCGTCGAATGACTCAAGTTCCGCATCAAAACGCAAGTGTAAAGGGAATTAGTAGCTTGTAAGGAAATTCATAATTAAAAATTTCCGTAGCAGTTTTCCAAACTTTCGGAATCAATTAATTAGTTTTTATTAGTAAATAAGCGTTTAATCATGTTAGATTCACTTTTTATTAAAAGTATGGTAAATTTTGTATAGTGAATACGTAAGCACTTCAATTACTGAACAGTAAAACTATCAATTAAAATTTTATGTTTTGCTTCATAAATATTTGTAGAACGATCAAGAATGGAAATATCAAAGTTCTCAAGTCATACTCATTCAGTAAATTTCCAGATCTCACGAAGCTGTAAGTTGATCATTATAAGAGTATTATAATCGGCAAAATTTTGGACCCAAATAGCAACTATCACTAATAAGGCTAGCAGAGGCATACGTCATTGCTAATTGTAAATATTTCCAAAGAGCATGAACCTAATTATATGGTATTGCAGTTTTTTACTTGCTATAATTCAACTAAAGTTGATGAATTAAGTAGCTTTTATTACGAGTAAAGTAATTGGGGTATCGTATCTTCCCTTAAATCAGGCGCAAGATCATTAATTTTATACAAACAGTAAAAATCGCTACATATAAAAAATAGCAGAATGCTGATATCATAAATTCTACATACCATGCTACTCTGACCTAGAATAATTTTTTCATAGCAACCATAACGTAGTTGTTATATCTTATCCAGAATGTATTGATAATAATTAGCCGAAGGAGTTTTTTACATGCTTTTGTTAGATAAGTGCATAATTTGATAATATTATCTAAGAAATAAAAATTATAATTTCTTGTTACGTTGATTCACCATAGATAAGCTGAGTTTTGCAATAAGATTTAGATTCATTTTTTGATTAAGAGATTAGTCATATACTTAACTTCCTAACGATAGGATAATTGTCATTATTATGAATCATAGTGTGGTTAGACGCTAAGGAGGACAATTCTGATGTTAGATTTAATATACTAAATTTTCTTATAGTAGTCTTAATTTTCCAACTGTTAACTTTTCGGTTTGTAAAACATTCACAAATACCAGTAATATACTAGATTTCGACTACCGGGTGGAAATATATTATTATAGGAAGAGAAATTTATTACAGAGATCTTACATGCATAGTTTATATTTAATCTGTTGCAGGACTGTCTCATTCGATCAAATCAGTTATATTGAGCCTTATGTATTCTGCAACTTTTCCAAACTGGAAACATTGTAAGTTATTTTATCCGTTTGATGATTTCGAAGTTAATATTTATGCTCTGATATGGTTTATTTAAAATGTTATCAATTGAAGCATTGCTGTTAATTTCTATGAACTGAAACATAATATTTATTAAACTTTTTCGGTGCAATGTTAACTTTAGTCTATCACTACACTAGGTCCTTAAACCAAAATCGAATAACAGTGATAAAGAAAAATACTTTTATGTGCCTATCCAACCTTTTAAACTTGTAAGTATTGAATCAGTTTTCATTCTGACTTAGATAAAAAAATTCTTTTCTACATCTTTGTTTAAAGCTGCAGGTATATTATATTCACAGTATTTCTTGAATTCAAGTAGTAAAATTTCCATATCCTATCACGCCGTGAATATGCTTAATTTCCTAATACTATTATGGCAGGAATTAAACTTCCATAAGTTTACGCTAGATTAAAACTGTCAAATATAGTGATATACGGTACATAGTTGTGTAATACTTCGGAAGATTGGAAATTTGTCATAATTACTTGTTATTATATGAAATAGATTAGAGAAGTAAGAAGCTTTATTTCTACTAGTGTTACAGGAAAGCTATATAAGGTTATAGTGTGTACAGCGATGTTAACTTATCGAATAGTGCGATATATACCGATCACGAAATTCCAAATTTTAGAAAAATAAGGGTCTTATAAAATCTTATACAAAGATTAACTACACACAGCCCTACTCTAGCTGAATACTACTACTAAAGACTTCTACAACGAACTAAGTGAATAATCTAAAGTTGCATACTTTTATACTTTTCGTAGCATTTGCAGCTACAATCCGCATGGTAACCTTGTACCTTATTTTACACATAGTTAAATTATTCTTAGTAACACTATTCTACTGCGGACCATCATTAATCCGATATGGATACGGGTACAGTATTTACGTAGACATTATTCACACCAGCCAAAGTACAATGAATTAACCATATCCTAATATATGATTTATAGTTCTATTTTTACTTATTAGTAACTCAACACTGTACTGTATATAGTCATCTATACTCTATCATAGAGTCTATACCGCTACAGTCTATAGTTATAGCTACCAAATATTTCTTAGGATAAATATCTTCCGTACACTATACTAAACATGGCTAACAGTCTACAATCACAATACTAAGTTACATTACAAATAGATAACATAAAGTAGAATAGGTAAAGTGTGGAAACTCATTATGTTGCTAGCAGAACTAATAACGAGATTGATATAAAAGGTAGCTTTTATTGTATAGGAAGAGCACGGAATTGCTTTCAGTATAATAGAAATTGACTTATATTAAGAATAGGCTATATCTGATCACAAAATATCTAAAATTTATAGAAAATTAGAACTTTGTTAGATCCTTATATAACGATAATCTACGTACAGCTCTACTGTTTCCGAATACAATTTCTAAAGACTTCTAGAAATAACTAATAGAATAATCTAAGTTGATAGCTTATATGCTTTTCATATCTTTCGAAGCTATAATAATCTGCAAAGTAGTGCTCTACTGTATTTTACACTTATTCTAATTATTATTAGTGGCAGCATTGTACAACGGACCATTATTAATCCATTATGGAAACTACTACAGTATTTACTTAGATATTTTTTTACCAGTCAGAAAACGGTGAGCTAACCATATCCTAATACATGTATTACAGTTTTATTTTTACCTCTAATCTTAACATTAACTCAACACCCTATTATACTGTATATTACCATTTGTGCTCTAGCATAGAATCTTCCACAACTGTCTGGTTATAAGCTTTTAAATAAGTCTTAAGATAAATATAGTAAGTTACGCTACATGTATACATGAACGTGACCGTATGCGAAGTCGGTCATTTAGAAAACTGCCCGTAAGTAAATACAAGAATCATGATATAAACACGTAGATTGAATCTCAAATATATCAAAAGCGATATTTAAAGATCGAAAATATTTTAGTATTTGACGAAAATGCATAAATTTACTTTTACCTAAAGCAATTACGGCACTTAATTCGATTTCTTATATCAAGTTCTTCACAAACAGTATCAACTTATCTTATCTACTAATCTATGGTAAATCAACTTGCTTCGATTTTTATAGATATCTACGATACAATTTAATACATAGTATTGAAAAATATTCACTATGCCATATGGTCAAATTACAACAATTGTAAGCAATTAATTGATTATATTCCTAAACGCATACAAATTTTTATTACTTGGTAACAAGCTAAATTTTTATCGTCTTTTACTAAGGCGTATAAGCGAAAATCGTTTAAAAACAATTAAAATGGAGGATTTCCAATGTTTATCAAAATTAAATTTATTGTAAGTGCCGCTAAGTACCGGTAATGAATCGAGCTAATCATGTACGTGAGATTTCATGTTGAATATTTTATTGTACTATTTTATCCTTTAACTAGCATTTGTTTAAAGAGACCTATGTTAACGGTAAACTCGTAGGTCATTTTGTGGAAGTTCTTAATGTTTCAGCAATCTATCATCTGTGTATATGAATATGCAGCATACTTCAGAAATTTAGCTAATTAATGAATACCCCCCGAGAATAGTTCATTCGTAGCGATGCCTTTCAAGGCTAAGCTTTTTAAAAGCTACAAGATCGCAGTTGGATTACTATAAATACAGCACAGATTATTTTGATACTATTTCAACTTATTTGCAAAAGTAATTAAAATATAAAAGAGCATTAAATCAAAATTTTATATTATTTACCTTCAATAGATCTCTGTCTAATAACCTTATCGCATATATAGCTCCGAACACGTTTCATAAGCTGGCATCATTAGCAACTTTGTAAGTAAGATTCTATTGTACTATAATAGCAGATGAAAACATAACGATCTATTTTTTCTATTTTGAATGATAAGGAGGTATGGAGTTGACTGTATATTTTTCGATGAGATTGTTTAGCTACTGTTACAAAACAGCTTTGCAACAAGATAGTATAATGCACGATCAATCAGTCGATTCCCTGAACCACGTATCAGGGAGCAGTATCTACTCTTTCAGGAACATTTTTCCCATACTAGTAGACTACAAAAAGACTTAGACGCCTCGTATCTTACGTTAAACACTAATCATAAGAACTAACTTTATCATACGATTTATCACATTTATATATACTCTTTTACAATAGCAAAGACATCCTAGTTAGTAATATCAACGCTGAAACCTGATAATGAATAACAAGCTGATTTTATCTACTGCTACCTAATGAAGACAACAGTATTTACGAACATAGACATCGAATGACTAATACAAAATTGTCGGATTACAATATGTCCTATCACGGAACATTTCTATGATAATCTACAATCTGCCATAAGTAAATTACAAACACAGTGATTTGAGTTATAAGAAGATTATTCTCGATTCCCTAATTAAACTATTAATTTTAGTAGGCTGTATATGTTAATATATATCACCATAAAAGCTAGTGCTATATTTAAATATCACATATCTAAATTAGTAACTCTTCATATAAGGGTAAATCAACAAAATTATCCTAACGTAGATGTTTCTACTATAATCTCGATATTACAGTGTATATTGCAGTGTATAACACGGTAATAGCTACATACTAAATATAAATGAGTATAAGTACAATTATCTATTAAATGGTAATAGTGCGAATAGGTGAACTATCGTATAGCATACGATGTGGAATTTGATAAAGGAATTTTCCTTAAATATTTTAATGTGTACATATCATTAATATTATAGTTCCGCAGTATATTAGTACTGTACGTTCTATGATACCTTATTAGGAAAGGAAATAATGTACTGTCGGAATACCTAACTTAAAATTAGTAGAGATTTCTGCCAAATTTTACTCTCACATAGCACACTAGTACACCTACATGGATATTTTATACGTGTTTTTCTTTTTCGACTTGAAAGATATGGCAGAATAAAGGTCTTTGTCCCGATATTTAAAATCAATATTCTATGTTTCTTATGAGCAACATTTATTAATTAACATCTTGAAATTTACACTCCACGATTAGCTAGTGTGATTTCATACACCGATACATAAATAAACTAATTTAATGGTACAGTGTTGCCTGAATGGCTGTAGCAAGGGTAAATAAGAGAGAAAGATAGCAATATTTAACATTAAAATTTTATTGTGATTTTAGTATATGTTCTTATTTTTATTTTAAGACGCTTATCAAGTAATGCTCTCAGAAATTTGAAGTCGAACGTTTTCGGAGACGGATGCGGCATAAAATACCTGTAAGTGGCGCGATAGTACGCTATTCTAGCAATTCAGAAATATCTTTATGGTTAAATTCATATAAACAATCTCAGTTTTATCGATTAGATTTCATTAAAATTTCAATAGGATGGAAAAAATAAGTAGAATTAGCATAATTTTTTGGATTGACAAAGTAATTAGAGCAGCCGGTAAATTTATAAATTGAAACTTTACTTTAGATGACATGGTAGTCTGTTTTATCCAGTATGACTGGGGATTCGTTAAATATACTTTTTATCAGCGATATGCTGTAACGGAAACAATTTTACTATTTTCCTTCAATTCCGTTAGAAGTGTATAGCAACTTATGATATCTCATAGCCATACGGTTTATCACGTTTGGTCGAATTTGGTAATTCGTAGAAACAGCGTAGAAAATCACAATATTTAATTGAATATCTAATAACTATGCAAAGCTACATATGTTATAACAATTACTTCGCCTGCATTGACTTTTAAATCAAATACTCTAGAGATAGAAAATAAAACAACACCGCATACGGGTACTTTACGGAAATACTTTCCTAAAAACCAAGTCTAAGTTACCTTGTCACTAATTCATAGGCATATATCGAACAATCGATTACAAGAGATTGATTCGTCGTCATTTTGCAGCTTAGGAAAACTTCAACTTCTGTAAGTACCTTTCAGTATCACTTTAGCCCTTATAATTTATAATTTATCCTTTATTGTGCACCTGCAAATATCAAAGTACTAGTTAACCAAATAACATCAGTCAGTACTTGTAAAATAAGTTAGTATTGTGATTGTAGACTATTAGCCATGTTTAGTACGATATACGGTAGTGTCTTTTCTATATTTATCTTATGATATACTTAGTAGCCCATAATTATAGACTGTAAGAACAGACTCTATGCTAGAATACAGATGATTATATACAGTAAGGTGTTTAGCTACTAATAAGGTTAGAGGTAGAGGTAGAAATAGAATTGTAATTCATATATTAGGAAATGCTTCGTTCATCGTACTTTGAGTGGTAAGAATAATGTCTATGAAAATGCTGTAATCATTTCTATATTGGATGAATGATGGATCGCTGTAAAATATTGTGACTAGTATTAAGCTGAATATACGTAGAATATGGTAGAATGCTTCTATGCTGATTGTAGCTGCGAAGACTACAGAGAGCATAAATGCATAAGACATTAGATTATCTGATTGTTCTTTCTAAAAGTCTTTTAGAGTAGTTGTACTCGGCTAGAGTATGGCTGTGTGTAGCTAGTCTTTGTATTAGATCTAATAAAGTTCTAATATTCTACAACTTTGGAATTTTCAAGATCGGATTTTATCACAATACTACTAATATATGGTATAGCTAATTTGAATTATAGATTATCGGCTATATTTAGCATTACGTTTCTTACAGATTATAATTCTTAAAGAATTACAATGATTTGCTAGAATGTCGTTGATTACAATCAGTGTCGCTGTGAGTTACCATAAATAGTGATGATAAGTAAACAAGTGTAGCTCATATTTTTGGTTAAGAAATTTTCAGTTCTATAGCCAGAAAATAGTGTATTTGCATAAATGCCGTGGCTGTTCTGCTAGAAATTGAAGAGATCTGCCGAAATGTGTACATATAATACTGCCAATAGTTGATGAACTCGTAAAATACGAGTATTATCCAGTAGTGCCTAACAAGTTGCAAAGACTAAGAAACATATTGAAGCAGGAAATAGCAATTGTTTCTAAAATTTTTCTAGTTGCATCATGTTAGAGCTAAAGGAGGATGCGTAATGCTTCTCCGTATAGGCAATAAATAAATTTTTAATTTTATATAAACTTTGGAAATTAGCGCCAGTTTTATAATTTGTTAACCTAAAATGTTTCATTTTAGGGTTTTATCAGGAAATCACATTACCAATCTTACTAGAGGATCTATAAGCTGCCTTAAGACACTAAGCACTTTGTAAGCTAAAAATTCAGTAAGATATCAAAACATTTATTCCTTATATTATGTTACTTCATTAGTCAAACAACAGTATATTAATTCATAATTGATAGCAACATCACCAGGATATTTATGATAAGAAAATTTATGTCTGCTGTAGTCTGAAACTAATATTATCAATAGCATTAATCGTACACATAGTCATGTTTAAAGTCTCTTCTTCTAAATTAGAGGCCACATTATCTCACAAGATAGCTCTAATTTGTGTATAAGGTGCTATCTGTCATTGCACCTATTCTAGTTTTCCTTAAATTCATTCGTTAACGGCAAAACGTACTGAACAACTTTAGTAATTTCACTAACGTTTCTTAAATTGATACTATAGCTAGATTAGGATAGCATGCGCATTTTGCTTAACAGCTAACAGGAAGACTCATCTCGTTAACTGTAGCACACAAGTGGATTGCACAGCATACTATTCCGGAGAAATTTGCAATAGCTATCATCTACTTACAGTTGTATAGTATTACCTGTAGCTGCGTGTTATTGTAGCCGATATGTTATGACATCCTAGATCGATCGGAGTAGCTACAGTACTCCTTTTCCGTCAAATATTTAAAGAAGTTTTCTAAATTTTTATGAATTTTTCAGTCTAGAGTCTATCCATCACCTATTAAATCTTTTGGTAATTTAGTTCGACCATCTTTAATTCGATTATCACTACGACGTATTGAATTTTTACAGATATTTAAGGAAAAATGATATAGAAGATATTGAAGCAAGAGCTTTTTGTGGCGCAACCAATTTACAAGCATTGTAAGTTACATTTAAATAATAACATTAATGACTCAAAAGATTGCTAATATTAGTACGTCATATTCTTTGAAAAATAATTTATTTCTGAGGAAATTAGACATCTCGACCGGAATCTTCTCACTAAAATTGATAAATATTCTTTTCATTGTCTCCCGAAAACTGATCGCCTGTAAGCTTCATTTGCACCGATCTTCAGCCTGTTTGATACTATTTAATTCTGTTAGCATTTGAAATGTTACAGTATAATGATTATATCTAAAATAGAATTAATCAAATTTAGATAATGATAGAGAATGAATTCTATGTATTATTCTCAACATAATTTAAACAGTATCCATAATTTTATGTTTTGATACTTTCGTGTATGATGACTTAAAATTATCTATTTCGGCAATCTTTATTCAAAAATTTAATACGAAAGTATCTTTTATAAAGCGATTTAATATAAAATAACGTTCTGAAAGTTCCATTAATATTTATGGTCGTAATTTAATTCTACTAGTAACCACTAAATTAAAGGATAAATTAAGTGTAGAGAAGGAGAATTTTCTAGTGTAACCTTTACTATCTTTCCTATAAGAAACCAAATTAAAAAATCTATAATATCTCGTACACAGGATTTTAAGCCAGAATTTAATCAAAGAAATAGCGCCATCGGCATTTTGCGACATGCCTTCACTTTCCCTTCTGTAAGTGAAAATAATAGACTCCAGACTTTGCTATTTTTACTAAAAATTGCTAATTGCAATGAAAGCAAGCCAGTCAAGTTAGCGTTGTGAGCTTCAAAATTAAGGTTACTTCATAAATGTGAAGTCGCTAAATACAAAAGTAGTAAAATTGATTAACCTTAACATTATGAAAGATTTTGGGGTTCATAAATTTGCTTAGAGAAATCCCTGACTTGGCACTACACTGTTAATTGATAAGTTTATAAGGCTTTCCAAAGTTACGAATGTTACTTACAAATTATTGGTATTTCTTGCTAACACTCCATTGGACTATAGAGATTTGGACTCTAACAAGTTCAGGAAGATTAACAGAAATGGATTAAATTGTTTAAATAACCTTCAAAAATTGTAAGATAAACTTCATAAATTAATACGAGTATAAAAATTAATTTAATACTTAGGGTATGTTTCGAAAATTTTACTAGAAAGATGCACCTAATTAAAAATCGATTCAGTAGTAACCGTCACTTTTTAATTTTCATACAGTAAATCATCAACCAAATAAATGTTAGGTGTTCAAGATCCATTCTTTACGTAATATCTTTGCGTCATAACTATTCAAATTCCACATTTACATTTAGATACTTTATTATTAGTTAGAAACCAATTCAATGGTATCTTATGAAGACTGATGTCATATTGTAACTAAATTTGCTATTGTTACTGTTTATACTGTAGACAGTTATGAATTATGAATGCTTACTGTGCATTAACACTGCGGATGTACTTGGCACCTCTTTATTAGGGTAGTGTCACAAACCAGCTTCGTGACAAGGATAACGTAAAATAAATTTCTAAATTACTGTAGTCTCCGGGATTCAGTATCCCTACTCACAAGAATTTAGACGCCTTTGATTCGTTAAACTCAACTAGACAATTGAGAACTACTTTATTCAACTATCTGATGGGTTTATATACCCTTCTACAGCAACTAACAATCATGAGTCATCTTATAAAAATACTTAGGTGAGAACATCTACTAACTAATTTTTCACAGTCAGACTACAATATGTCCATTCACAGAATCATTTCAGTGCACATTACAGCACAGCATTAAATTTACTGTAACACATTTATAATTAGAGTAATTCCTATTTTAAGTAACTAGTTGTAATATATTATCACTATATTATATTAACCAAATTTAGATAGCTATTTCTTCACGGTAGTTCGTACCGTGACAGGTAGACAATAGCCGAAATACCTACGCTAATTCCCTATTAAGCAAATTTATAATAAAATTTCCTTGTTGGAAATTACATATTTTATTCGCTCTCATTTAATGCAAAATCCGAAAATGCTAAAAGATAGTAGCAGCTACACGTGCTCAGTTTAAATGATTACGGAAATTTTGTTGGAGAACAAGTCTCCTTAATTTACAGCATATAATTGTACTGAACACTTACCTAAACCAACTTTTATTGAATGATTAAAGAAATTTAAGTCATAACGCCATCCAAGACATAGAAAATAATTCGTTTTGTGAAACCATGAGCCTAACTGCATTGTAAGTGTGAGATTCTTTGCTATGGTTAATTTCACTTATTTTACAAAATGCTAACCTAAACTACTTTTAAAGTTACTTGCTATAAAATTACTTTTATACTCTAAACGTAACATACAGTATTTGTCTATAGATAGTTTTACCTGGAATTTACTGATCATACTTTACTAATGAATTTATATGTTCGGATACTTGCATAAATTACAGCTTAGTTTCTATATCCCTGTTTATATAATCATTATCTAACTAGCTAAAGCATAGATAACCTAGAGCCCATAAGCCAATAAATTTGAATCGCATGGTCGGCCTAGATAGTTCTAGTTCCTCGTTTTAAATTTCGGTTATAACACCGAAATAGTAAAGTAACAATATGCATTAATTCGTTCATTAATTCGTTCATTAATTTTCATTGCTGATACTAATATGTTGATTAATAGAGATCTTACCGGAAATCTACTGACTAAGATTACTAATAAAACTTTTGCATGCCTAGGCAAACTCTTTAAGCTGTAAGCAAACATTAGCCTTGTCTTTTAACATGCTGGTCAATTTTTTAGTATCCAGACAATTTTATTAACGCCTATGGTAGAAATAAAAACTTATCATATTACACGATACTTACAGTAAACCTATGACTACATACAGTGGAAAACCTTTCTAAATATAGTTTCTGTATATCATATTTTCACTTCTTAGCCAACTCAGCTATAATAACATGCAAGATATTGCTCCTCGTTCATTTTGTACGCTATTGAAGCTAAAACGTTTGTAAGTTATAATCTAGAATACTTAATAAATAACTTTGGACTTTGATACCGCACTACCGAATCTACAAATATGCAATACTCCTAGAAATGAGGCACCTGTATCAATGAAAAATACCAGAGTAAACGTCAATATACTCTTGTCTATTTTTTTAGATATCTAGATCAAAACAAACTGCAAAATATATCAGAATCGATGCTTAGTTGTTTAAAAAAATTGCTGACTCTGTAAGTCCTTCATATCATTTTGATACCTTATAAATAAATTTACAATAGCCGTATGAAATGTATAATTTGGGCAAACTTCTACTTTCAAGCAAAGTCAAAATTAGTATTTGCCTGCCTGCAATACGATGCAGAAATTAATGCATGCTAGCAAATATAATCTGGTCATAGTAGCTCGTTCTAATGTAGCTGTAAAGCTGTTAAGAAAAATACAGTTTTAACTTAGATAAACCACAAAACCTATTGTACTGTTATGAACTTTTGCCTACCTATAGAGCTATTTGACTAATTTAAATCCAAGCAGTAGTCGCTTTACTTAATTGCATTAGCAAAAATAACCACGGCATTTAGCTCTCTACGAATATCACCTTTAGAGATTGCTACAAATTATTATTTATGTAAATATAAATCATGTTAGAAATCTGAATCTAAACGAAATAAACAACATCATGGTCGGTGCATTTGAGGATCTTGTTATTTTACAAGAGCTGTAAGTTATTAAATTGGCAGAATAGTGGATTTTTTTACAGCAGTCAGTATGATGCTTTTATATAACGATGTATTTTAAGAATAGTATCAATTGCGTCCAGTCGCTAATGAAGTAGAGTTTTCTGAAGTTTATCATTATATTGATATGTTGACAGGATTTAAAAGAGATTATATACCATAATGATATTATGCGACTCTCCACTAATTAATTCTCAAGTAATGCATATATTTATAGTTAATAGCTGATCCACGCATAATTTATTTCCTCTAGTCACTTGAGTTCAAACAGTATCAGCAACATTTCAGATAATGTATTTCGGAATCTGCGAAATTTGCGAGAACTGTATGTATAAAGAACCAGAAATGTAAAATATGACTAGAATATACATAATATGTGTACACTTATATCATTCATAAAATTTTATTAAACTGCACGTCATTTTTTAATTTAACACGTTTATCTTGGCGTCATGTATTTACAAGCAACGAGAAAGTTTAAAATTACTGCTGTGAAATTTCTTGCGAAACCTTCGATCTTATTTTAAAAACTTACTATTATGCTAGTAGTTGAAACAACAATACCAACTTTGTATATCGAATCTGTTTCCTAAAACACGCCTTTCTTATGTAACTTTAGGAGACTGGTCGATAATCTAATATTTGATTTAAGTTTATTCTACAATTTAACTTCTATACAGTTGCTGTAAGTTTTCAATCTATTTTAAATTTTTAACTATATTACTGCATACTTTTAGAGATGCATACTATGCATGATTATTTTAGAAGTAATATCTGATATAATTAGGTTGCTAATATTAGAAAGTGTTGATTTCTTATACTTATTGGTTGATGATACTTACCAATTACAGTCGAACATCTAAGCAAAATAAGGTGTACGTTAAACATAATGTCATACTCTATAATTCAGGTGGTGCCCAAAATCTTATGTAATTAGATTGTAATACAAGAGTATTTACATCTTAGGTAAAAGGATTCATACAGTAAAATATTTTGATCATATCATCTATTTGAGTAAGTTAGTGAATCAGATTTAAATATTATTATAGATGAATTCATTACTGTTATAAATTAAGCTAAAATGGGATATTTAAGGAGTATGATAGAAACCTGTTTCATGCCAGTTTAGAATACCTCATTTCAGATTCTTGTCTCTACAGTATTTTAGAACATCGTAATGAAGATCACTTTTAACTTTATCTTGACTTGGACAACTTTTTTAGAGACAATTAAATTATTTCCTGTTAGATAGATTAGTTAGATACTTTTTATTACAATTTCTATAAAATCTACATTAAAGAATTGAATACTAAGCTCTTCCGCCTTCGTAAAACAAAATTTTAAGTAAGTGTAATTCAATCACATCAATTAATCTGTTAGAAAACTAGACGAGAATATCATCAGCTCTATTGGAAGTCAAGATTTTGAGAAAATGAAGGATTTGCATACCTTGTAGGGATATCTTATCATTTCGCTTATATAAAGTCAATTATATTATTTCTGTTATTCAATCTTTTTTTTAAACGCTAATTATAAATGTAAATGTTCACCTTCTCATGAAATCTCAGATGGATGATTAACTAAATTACGACTAAATTCTGGGTGAAACACTTTAGTAAAACAATACAAATTCTAGTAATTCTTCTACTTTAGCGTATAATCGCTATATTTGTATGTGTACGTAAATCATATTTCAAACTACAGCTGCACTCGGCAGACGATTAACATTCGTTTCTAAACAATAAAGCGGTAATATAAGATTTTAGTTTAAGGTTTAGCAGTAGTTATCAGATAGGATAATAAGATGTTCTCTTGGTAAGCCTATAGCACCAACAGTTAGTTAAAAAATTAATAGGCTTCGTAGATAGAAATGTCAATATTTTTATCAGGCCTTACGATTCTTAATTAGGAGCAAGTGGAACAGATAGAAATACATACTGATATCTCACTAGGAACTATCCTAATTTAAAGCTAGCATAGTTTTCTTAACTAATAACCTATTCCATCAAACAATAATCTTATAATCAAGATGTGCCTTAAATCTCAATTTTAGATCTTTAGAAAGTAATCAGATATCCACAATTAGCCCAGTCGCCTTTACCAAACTAGCAAAACTTGCTACACTGTAAGTACTCTCAATAGTATATTTTCTTAAATTCTTCTACACTCGGAATAGTAGTTCAAACAACAAAGAATCATTAACATTGCTATTAACTACCATCTGATCTGTAAGAAATCGACCACATTAGATACGTTAGATTCATTAAAGAACAATATTGCGCAAATATGTACCAGTATACACGATAGTAATGGATGAAATGAGTAGTCAAATATTTGTATTAATTTGTCAGCTAGAAATCATGTAAAGACTAAAGCGTATTTTATATAAAGTAATAATCAATTATTGTCTAACAATACTAAGGAAATTAGCAGGAAATCACTTATCCAGGTTCAATGGCTTAATATTTTCGGCAAATGTTACACTAAGCGTTTTGTAAGTAAATTTTATCTCTTTGAAAAACACAAAAATAGATAACTTAAGGTTTATATATTGCTCCTAATTTATGAAATCCATTATTTTCCTGCATTAAGCTTAATTTGTATCAGTTAATTAATACTAAATATTATTAAACTTACGGCCTCTACGCTTCTCTGATCGTTATATTTAGCACTAGATCTAGTAATTCCTTATTCACAAATACATTGGAATGTCATAGTTACAAACCGAAATTTATAACGAAAATATTAAACTTTACGAGCCTGATATCAGCCCCATTTTGTTCATTATTTATCTATAGTACGACTCTAAATAGCAATAACATTCTTATATTCAGGAAATTACAGCGAATAATACGTCTCTCTTTAGACAAATTTGAACTTAAACGCTGTTGATAAATCGACAGTATTTATAGTAAATCTAAGTAAACATTAATTTTTGGTACTGAGGTATGCCATTCTCTATTAAAATTACGTAAAATATCATGGATAAATCATCACTACTACATTCCTAGATAAGCTATTTTTTGACAGTATATTACGGCTTACTAGTGAAAGTTACACTGTAATGTACGGATATGCACTTTTAAAAGCTAAGGGGCAACTCAAAAATCTGTAAAGTCCATCATAAGCCTCAGATTTTACTCAAAATGCAACATTTGTTAACAGAGGATTAGAAAAGACAAATATCAGAAGACTTAGCGGTCCTGATATTTTCAATGGAAACCAAACGCTTGCCGAGCTGTAAGTTAAACTTGATCGTATAAGTATAAATTTGGGTCACTATTTTAGGGATAAACTATTAATCATTGTGTTACAGGGATTAGGTAAAAAATAAAATTTGTACTTTGCTGGGAAGCAATAATTCTAATAACCTGATGCAATTACGTAACTTTACCTAGAATTAAAATTTTGGATCGCAGTTACCTTAATATTAGTTTTATATAATTAGAATTGTACCAATAACTGTAGGCTTAGATAGAACGTTTGAAATAATGAAATATTACATTTTTTACCATTTGTCTTCGGTGATAAAATTTTAGTTTAGAATGAAATTCACGGAGAGAAATCTACTTCTGATAATTAAAACGCTAGTTTTAAAATCTTTGTACATTACAGAAAACTATTTATGATGCGAATTGCAATAATAGTATATGCTCTCAAACATATAAAACGATGGCAACTTATACGATATTCGATACAATACTATAGAATACAAATACAATATTTCTACATTTAAATTTACTTTTATTGTTTAGAGATTTATCATATAATCAAATAAGTGAAAATCCGAACCTGCAATTTTACGATTGCAAAACTTTGTAAGGCATACGCTAAATTTATTTTTCAAATAAATCTGCTTAATTAGAAATAAAATTTATAAATTTATAGCAATACTTTAGCAGCTGCAAATGAAATCTTAAATATGTATTAAATTGTCTAAAGTATTACCTACTAAAAGCTTGTCAATGAATTGAGCATCTATTTATTGAATGTCTCCTATTACTAACACTACGACTAACTAATAATAGGAAAATAACACATAACTACTTGCAAGAATCCCCTCCGCTCAATTTTAATGGTGTACCATCGCTAGAATCACTGTAAGTCAGCCTGTATCAGAATCGCAATTTAAACAATTATTTTACTAGAATTGGTAAATAAAATTGCCAATGAATATCAGTCATTTAGGTTGGAATAGATATCATACCATTGATGCAAATTTTTTTGTTACACTAAATCATCCAATAAAAATGCAAGAACTGTAAGTATAGAGATTCTAATTTATCCACTGCCTAATGTAAATAATATTTAACTAGATAAGTTATACCTATAAATCATCGTAAGTTTTGCTATCTTTTAAATGATTCTTTAGAATCCTATTCTACAACAATAAATCTACTAACATGAGCCTTTGAACTTTATTAAAATATATTAACGTCAATATTCCAATTTCAGATTTCTACGTAATAATCGTTTGAATAGTGTTCATGATCTGACTATGGCTAATTTAAAAAGTCTCAGGAAACTGTAAGAGTACCTATTCACGTACAGACAATGAAACAATATAGAAATTTCTACAAATGTTTAGTTTCGTTCTTAGAAATTATTTATTAAAGTAAATTAAGAAATTGAAATTCTCTTGATTTTTATACGTATAGAGACTTACGTGGAAATCACCTAAAAGACTTGACCTTTTTGCAACCATTAATAAGTCTAAGTTTTCTGTAAGTCCGAGTAGATATAATTTAGATTAAATATTTCTATCCTAAATAGTTATGTAACAAATCCAAACCCTAGCCCGTTTACTTTAACAAGTAAATATATATGTGGCATTAATCTAAAACAATGTATAAATTAACATAAGACCAAATCTGATAGTCAATATATAGCGTACAAGTAACAATACTATTGGATAATGTTGAAATTAAGGACTAGAAATAGAAATCTATACAGTAGCTAAAAACATCACTTAATTTCACGCCAATCTTTACGATCATAGCATAGCGTACCTAGTTTCTATAGTTAGTTAACTGAAATAGCATTAATTCTCTAGTACCACAGAATTAAGTTCGGTAAAGGCTAATTGTACTTTATCCATCACAGCCGACGGCTAATATCTATAATTCACTAATCGGTGATATTTTCTGATCGTTTAAGCTCGTTGCGAATTAACGATAATTATAAAATTTGCAGATTATCAACAGCTTTCAAAATTTCTATTTATTGAATCATTTCATGTTTTGAGAGCATATGAGGTCAATAATAACTGCTTAATTGATAATAGTAGCTCTAAATGTTTGGCTATTACTTCAGTTAGTGCAAGTTTCATATATATATTATTGATTATTTGAATTAATCTATTATTATTATTATTATAATCATCAAAAGGACAGAGAATCTCTGTCTTTTTAGTAACATTACTGCATGAATAAAGATAGTTTCTCTGATTTATAAAGGAAGACGGTTTCTCTAATTTACGTATTTTGGTATTTTTGCCGTTTACGAACTGACTAGGCATTTCGCCAATACAGCGAACTTCGTACACAAACGTGTACAATATCATGTTACATCATCTAAATTAAGCCAGACTAATAGGGTTTGTTAAGCAGTTAAAGTTTTAATGCACTACTGATGCTGCAATATTAGTAAAAAATCTCCAGAATAAGTCTAAATAATTTTATCTGAATAATCCTAACAAATATTATAATTTTTATAATTTTATTTTCATAATATTTACTGGGTGTAAGATAAGTTTTAGACCTTGAAAATGTTGATAGTTACGAAAAGATTCGCATGATCTATACACTGGTAAACGATTAAGTAAAAAAGGTAGCTTACAAATGATAAAAAATAATTAATTGCCTTAATAACGAAAACCAGAAATCTAGCCGGAAATGATATCCAAGTTTTGGACCTTAAAAATTTCAGAAATTTATCTCTACTCACTGAATTGTAAGCATGTAAAAATTAAAATATACACCAGTCATCAGCAGCTAATAGATTCGTTATTCCCAAATTACAGAATTGATTTTAATCCGTAATTCTAGGTATCTTGGTAACAATAAAATCCAGTATTTAGAGGAAAATTATTTTGCAAATACTAGATTAAACACTCTGTAAGATTCCTTCTAATATTTTATGTGTATAGGTCTATCAAAAATTTTAATAGTAAGTAACATCGAAAACTAAATATCACACCTTATTTGTCTAGATATCTAGACAATAACCGAATTCGATCGGTAAAGAGTACCTTTGATGGAATAAGTTCCTTAACAAATCTGTAAGTTTTTATACTGTTTGAAACGGGCTGCGAGAACATACTTACTAATCGTAAGCAGTAGATTATACTATGGCGATGCCTTTATGATAATCTATTACTATAATAATGTTACAATCCTAACTAATGGATTCAAATCGAAAGTGACTTTTTCTACTCTGAAACTTTTATACAACAAATGCTTACTAGGTTTCTCCTATTTCTATACTACAGTGGACAAAAACTTAAGAAATTATAGCTGCATTTTTATGTCTATATTAGATCCTTGGAGGGTAATCACATCGATTCATGGAATGCATTACGATTTAATAATACCAAATTAATAAGCCTGTAAGAAATATAAGATTTCTTGTCATACGGTTTGCTACTGTAATTACCGAATTCCTACGGGAAAAGGAAAAAGTATTAGATAAATATACGTTAGCGAATAAGTCAACTTTTTTTATTTAGAAATATTCGTAATAATCGTCTATCCGCCATTGGAAATATGAAACACACCAAGATAAAAAACCTGTAAGCTATAGATTTCAGAAACTGTAACAAATATTATGCAAAAAAACTTAAGTGAACTTTTAAATTATTATTTTACCTCTAAACAGAGACATTGGAAACAATATTATTAGCAATCTTTCTTGCGAGGGGCTGTCACCTTTAAGTGTCTTGTTCGTAATATTTCTTATATAGTTTAATATCATATCATCAGTCCTAACTTAAAAATCATGAATAGCAGTATTGAAAACTTTCAGCAAAAATATTTTAAATTATATATTTACACTACAGAAATCGATAAAAATGTACCCATACTTTTACGTGCTATCCAAGAATATAAATTTTACTCTATTATAGTATCTTTGATAACAATAATATTTCCCACATCGAATCAAATTGCCAATTAATATTCGAAAGATTAAGCCACATGTAAGTATTATTACTATGTTACTTAAAGTACTTTAATAAAAATTAATCATACTGGTCAGCAATACAGTTTTTGCATTCCCCTTACTTCCAGAAATGCAAGTTACAACAATTTGATAAAAAATGGTGTAGACATTGGTAAAAAGCTTTTGAATCACCTCCACACAATATATGAAATGTAAGTCCACATTATCTCTGAAAATTTTAAGCAAAATTCCATTGGATCATCGCAAATTTATTTTTTGATAGAAACATAGCTGGAAATAACGTTAAGAAACTATCTACCGATATTGATCCGTATTTTTTTCGAAGCCTGTAAGGATTCCATTTGCCATTACGTAAAACAATAAATTAAGATATCCATTCGGTAGCTATAACCTCTTTTGTGATCTGAATTAGAAATCCTTAACAGTAAATCTATCCCTATGCACACAACAAAAAATGGCAATGGATGATTACTACTATAAAATATTATCTATACTCCTATTAAATACTTCTAGGGATATTAGTGACAATCCTATAAGACTGCAAAATATCAAAGGAATTCTGAGAAGACGAACAGTAATTTACATAACAGCATTGTAAGCTTTACATCCTTTGCTTGACCTGAATAACGACATGAATAGTAGAATTTCCCATTTCTTGTACTTATGCTGACAGTTGAAAAGACAGACTACTATGCCAAAATAGCTCTATGAATGCAAAATGTAGCTTAATTTTTAATTAGTTACTTTTATTAAAGCTATAAATAGTTGAATAAGCTTCACCCTTTTGAGTTGGCTGGCAATCAATTGCACCAAAATTCTACCACTTTAAAATTAGTAACGCATTCAATACTAAACATCAATAGTTTTGGCTATAAGACTAAAATATATCTATTAATTACTTTCGTATTATAAATTTTAAAGTCCGAGTATCTTGAGACACTCCTTATTAACTACTACCTTCAAAATAATTACATTTCAGCAAAATGAGAAATTGCGCAATTACTGACATCCCTCAAAATGCTTTCCGCTTGTATTCATCTTTACAATATTTGTATGTTAATGCTTCATATACTTTATGCACTAGTTACAATAATTTATAATGCTAAATTTTGCATATATGCATGCTTATTGTATTCATTATATTGCGTGACAATAACAATAGAGATATCAGCAATAATAACCTAGGATCAATCGATATTGCAAACCTTGCTGCGGACAGTTACAAGAATCTCGAGGCGCTGTAAGTTCTCTATATTCCGAAATAGCTTACGCATTAGCTCTTGTTAAAAATTTCAAAATTCAACAAAGGAATTCTAGATAAGTTAAACTCCTGTTAAATTACCTACAATTAATCATTATGGTATACGCTGAATTAAACCTTAGAAATAATTTAATTATGAATTATTCCGTTTCGTTTTTTTGAAAGCCATATTGCAGGAAATAGACTCTACAATCTAACATTCTCTACAGAGCTACAGCTTTATGCGTTGAAGAGTCTGTAAGTGTCAAAAATTAACGTGATTCATAATTTAATGGCAAATGAATCAGTATTTAATTACTTAAACGATTTAGTGTAGTTTATGCTTTAGTTTTCCATAGGTACGATGCTTAGAATGCTTCTGTGACGGTGTTATATACTGTATTAGAGTAGAAATATCTATGCTAGGATAATTTTGTTAGCCTATCCTTATTTAGTTAACTTCTAATTTTTACATACTGTGTTTTAATATAGCACTGACTTTATATGACAGTGACATATATACATATACTAAATTAATAGTTATATTAGGGAATACGAGGTATTTACTTACAGTTCGAATCATAGTGATTGTAACTTACTTATGGTAGATTGTAAATTATCGTAGAAATATTCCGTGATAGGACATATCGTAATCTGACTATTCAGTATTAGCCATTAGATATTCTGTTCGTAGATACTGTGGTCTACATTCGAGAGCAGTAGCTAAAATTAATGTCTAATTCAGTGAATGATACTAAAGTTAATCGTATTAACTATGACTCATGAACTGTTGAAGAAGAGTATATAAACACAATATATCGTGTAATAAGTTAATTTTTGAAACGTAGTGTTTAACTTAAAATACGAGGCGTCTAAGTCTTTGTGTAGTCTTCTAGTAGAGCAAAAGTGTTCCAGATAGTGCAGAAATCGTTGCTTGATACGTGGTTCAAAGAATTGACATATTGATCGTACATTACGTTATCTTGTTGCAAAGCTGTTTTGAGACAGCTGCTTATATATGGTACTAAATTATTATAATCTTCAACTATCGCTTTTAGAAATATTTCGAATAACAAAATTTCCAATATTTGTGAACAAAAACTAGGAACTTATTTTCCATTCATCGAAACTTTGTAATAAATTAAAAGCTAATAAGTAAATTGCAGATTTTTAATACCGGTAATATTTCTGACCGTCTCTGATTTTTTCGTGGTAGGGATATTAGAAATAATGAGATAATCGTTATTCATAACCGGTGTTTTAGAGGTTTACTGAGAATAAAATTTTTGTAAGCACTCTTATTACAAATTATACGTTAACAAATATTTTCTTATTTTTATGCAGCAAATTAAAATAAAACATGTAGACTCGAAGTTACTCTATTATCTTGCATGTTAACATAATTAACTCTATTGCTATTTTAGATACGTACAAGGTAATAGCTTAGCTTTCGTTACACAGACATCCTTTTTTGGACCACCCGATCTATCTACGGTGTAAGTTCAATTTAATATTCAATCAGTTTAAATAGACATAAGCACTACTAATATCAACTAAGCTTGGCATACAAGCAATCAAAAAATTCGATATTATTGTTTTAGGCTATCTGGGCGAGATTATCTTTGTTGTATGGTTCCTGGTAAAGTTAAGACTTGCCAACCAAGTATGTTTGCCGATACCCTTTCGTCTTGCAGTTATTTATTAGCTCATGCATCTCTGGATGCTTTTGTTTGGATAGTTGGATCGTTAGCTTTAATTGGGAACATTATAGTTTTATTACAAAATCACTATTCAAAGTCAATCAAGAGCAATCTTGTACCAACGTTTCTCATAAGTAATCTAGCAATATCAGATCTTATTATGTCTATTTATCTATTAACTATTGGGATAGCAAATTTAATTTATTCTGATGGTGATTTTGGATTACATTCCGAAAATTGGCTATCGAATCCTGGTTGTCATATCGCTTGCCTTCTAGTAATAATATCAACACTAATGTCGGTTCTTATTATGGCTATCATTAGTGTTGATAGATTTATTTGCATTGCTTATCCTTTCTCTACTGCTAATTTATCTCTGAAAGTTGCTAGAATCACTCTTGGACTGGTATGGCTAGTAATTATCTCGTTCTCTAGCATTCCAGTTATGTTTAGTATAAATCAGCCGGGACATCTTAGGATCTACGCCTATAATAGTATGTGCATGCCAAATAATTATCGCGGTATATTTAATGCGACATGGATGATTTCATATTTGTCAATAACAGTTATAGTGTGGATAATAATGATTGCCTTATATACTCGCATCTTCATGGCAGTACAACAAAGTAGTAAGGGAATACGAAAGTCATCTCTAAACGATAACAAAATATTGGCGATACGTTTGTCGTTAATATTAATAAGTGATTTAATTTCTTGGCTACCGTATCTTTATATTACTATTTCTGGGCTCATACTAGAAGGCAAAGTTGACACAATTACATTACAATTTATTGCTACATTTACACTGCCTCTAAATTCTGCTATAAATCCTTTCCTCTACACTTTGACTAGCATTAAAGTACTCAAAAGAACTTTTTTATCCAAAAAGACCAAGCCATCAAAATCGGCATTCTCATCACAAGCTGTAACTAAATCTAGCGTGCTTTCAATGCAACTTGTTACGTTTGTCAATACTGTAGAAGACTAGCGATACAAAAAATATTTAAAATTACAGTAAATTTAAATGTATTACAATTGATATAAAGCTATTGTCAGCATTACTAGCAATTATTTACAGTATTTACTGAAGGAAGACTGTTATCGAAGCAGACCATGCCATCACATTTTGCTTTTCATCACGAGCTGCTGCTAAATCTTGCCTACTTTTAAAGGAAGTTATCGCCTCTTTTAATGCTATAGAAGACTAGTAATATAAAATATTTAGAATAAATATGAATATATTCCATCTGATAATATTCTTACATTTTATGCAAACTGATTGTCAGCAGTACTGGCAGTTAAAATATTTATAAATGAATTTGCAGATGCAAAAATTAATTTTTGGAGCTAAATCGTCTTCCAAAATATTTCAATTTGCCAGCACGTTAATTTTATGCTTGCATTCCTAAAGTACACTTACAACTGTATGCAGTAAAGCACTTTTAGATATAGTTGAAGATTTTTAAAGCATGCAGACAATTTTAATTCATATATTTCAAATATATATAATTAAGTTGCGAACGGCTACTTTGTCTACTGCCTGACTATTTTGTGGATTTGTAGCCCATAACTAAGTACTATTGCAGATATCGTTATTATTATTTACTAGTAAAAGCTTGCAAATGTTTCTATTATGCATTTCATCAATCATAATGTTTGTGATAGATAGTCACGATATGGACGTCTAATAAAAGATTCCAGCTAGTAAAAACACTTATGCAATCGATGAAACAAATATCTTTTAAGTTTGAGTCATCTGTGAAGGAAGTAGAGATGATGGTGCTTATTTCAATAAAAGACTTTCAATAATCGTAATCATAACACTCTATAAACGTACTGAAATTATAAGTATTTGTTACAGTGTTATACACTGTAATATCGAGATTATAGTAGAAACATCTACGTTAGGATAATTTTGTTGATTTACCCTTATATACAAGGTATAAAGTTACTGAACCTCTGACAGGTCTAAGTACACGGTAAAAAGTTACTGAACCTCTGACCGGTCTATCAAATGGTAATACTATCTGTTAAATGAGCACATTATCGTTAACCGTCAGCAAAGCGACGGGAGTTTGCACTAGTCTTCTTATAATTCAAATCACTGTGATTATAATTTACTTATGGTGCATTGTAGATTATCGTAGGAATGTTCCGTGATAGGACATATTGTAATCCGACAATTTTGTATTAGTCATTCGATGTCTATGTTCGTGAATACTGTTGTCTTCATTAGGTAGCAGTAGATAAAATCAGCTTGTGATTCATTATCAGGTTTCAACGTTGATATTACTAACTAGGATGTCTTTGCTATTGTAAAAGAGTATATAAATGTGATAAATCGTATGATAAAGTTAGTTCTTATGATTAGTGTTTAACGTAAGATACGAGGTGTCTAAGTCTTTTTGTAGTCTACTAGTATGGGAAAAGTGTTCCTGAAATAGTAGATACTGCTCCCTGATACGTGGTTCAGGGAATCGACTGATTGATCCTGCATTACGCTATCTTGTTGCAAAGCTGTTTTGTAACAGCCGCCCATTGATTTTATTTGTAGTTACGAATCTGTATACATAGAAACAGCAGGTTATGAAGTCTTGATCTGATACCTATCGAACTTCATTTATTCAGTATTGCTGGAGTACAGCACCCCTTAGTTTTGATGACACGTTAGATGGTTATATACCGCTTTTTTTAATTTTTAGGCCTTTACGAATTTCTTACTGAAGCAACAGAAGTTTTATCGAATACTATGTTTAGTACAAAATATAGCACTGCATTGGGAGTGTCTTATAAACTTATTCCATGACTTTAACATGAAACAAAATTACTGTATTCCATATTAAGTATTACAGATTACTGTAAGATTTTATAATCTTAAATTCATTCTCTGCTGCATTAATATAACGCTATTAGGCGTACAGATATCATCTATTGCGCCATTAAATGCTTACTTCATGCAGCCTATCTATTCTTAGAATAAAATAAGGTTGTCACACAATCATGCATAGCAAATGGTGTGGACTCCATCACATAGAAACGAAATTATAATGCATTTTAAGCTTAAAATACCACTGATTTCTCTAAATCATTGGAAATATCTTCAGGTTGTAGTAAAGGATGCTCATGAAAGGATTGATCATCTTTACTTGCACTACTCAAGTTTTCATTTATAATCGTCTGTTCATCTCCTACTTCATATCGTTCAATATCACGTTTCATGAAGTAATATGTTAGAAAGGAAAAGATCGTTGAGAACACTTTCATAATTGCAAGAACACCAGTTATAGCTAATGCCAAGGAATGACTGTCATATATCCAACAGAACTTTCTTTCACCACAGTCTTCTTTCCATAAATTACAGGCGCTATCAATAAATGCACCCATTATAATAGGACCTGGCGTAGTCGCTAAAACCAAGATAATTGCCTTCTCTATAGCTAGAGCAAGTGAACGTTGGCTCTCTGGGACGCAGCTAAATTGATATTACTTTAATTAGCATGAGATTATGTATCCTTATAGTTCAGATAATATTTTAATTATATCAGGATTACACTATGATGATGACATCATCTCGCATTAATTTTAACTTACCGAAAGATAATTTGAAATGAAGGTATTAGTGTGCAGAAGACTAGAAAAGCAAATAAAGTCCCTAAAATTAAAAATGGAATTAAGGCATTGCAGGGCTTCGGACAATAATTCATTATAACATGTTGAGAAATTGCGTCGCTGTTGTTCATTAAATTCCAACCACTTAGACAACTACAATTGTAAAAGATCTAAAATATAACAAAAATAATTAGGGAACGGCTGCTTTCAAGCTTATATAATGAAGCAATTGCTAAGTTTTGATGCATATCTTAAAAATGCTATTAATTCGTTGATTTACCATAACCTTATTAGTTGATTTTATTTAACTGACCTCCTCTTTTGCTATGCTATCATTGCCAGATAAACAACCGGCATAACAAGGCGAAAAGTATGTTATTCCAGTTCTTTGATCGCATACTGGTTTAAAATTATCGGTGCTACAGTGACAGCCAAGATTACATTCAATACTCAGATTATAGGCCAGGTGATTAGTGCCTTTAGCGGAAGTATCACTAAACAGGGTTATGATAGCAAATTAATAAACGAGATTATGCCAAGATAACTTAATTTTACGGCTAATTGTTAATGTAATTTCGCAAATATGCATCCATGCTTGTTATTTAAAATAAATTCGCACTATTTCATCTTAAACTAATAGTAAAAATAATTAAAATGATATAAAACTTTTAGTTACAGTGCTCTTTCTATTATTTAGCAATTACTTGAAATAAGAAACATTTACTCCAGCAATAGCTGTACTTGGACATCTCGTAATGATAAACGCGAATGCAGTCAGTATACTTAAACAACAAGCCATCCAGTTATATTTTGCCAACATTAAAACGCCTAATTTCTTTTTCTTCAGGAGTATCCCTACCTGAGTGTATAAACGTATAGCAACATAGTTATAGAAAATGATTTGCAAATCGATTCAATTTTCTGATGTTCAAAAACTACACAAAATTGTATTAATCAAGATAATGTGTAAGATGCTTAATCGTTAAATGAGCTTATTCTCTTAATACTGTATCTTTAACTACAGAACAAACTAGCTCGGCAATTTCTACTAACTAGCATTAAGACCATCAATTAACATACCAGTATAACTCCAAGCAGCATTCCTATAACGATTATTAGGCCAGAATACATACTCGCATCGGCTGCACTTATTCCGTACTGTGCTTCCAAATACTTTGGAAGGAATGTTCCCATACCAGCTAGCACTATAAGATGCCCTACTAGACTTAATGTAGTGCATACATAGGGTAAATTGCATAACAACTCTTTACATGCTGGTATAATTTCTTTCAGATTTGTGCCATACTGTTTATCAACGCTTGATTTACCAATAGCCTGCTCTTTACGTTGTTTCTTATACAGTTCATAATTTGGCAAATGGCGAGGAAAAGCGAACATTGGTATCGAACCTATTGCCACACATATACCGGTAAGGACGTAACCAAGCCACCAAGCACCAATCCAGTTTGGATTATTTGGTGTCAATCCCGGGCCTAAGTAACATAAATCAGTATCATTTACAGTAATTTTTTCATATTGATTGAAGAGTATCAAAAATATATTTTATTTTAATTTACGCTGCATAACCGCTAATATTACTCTACCATGGATGGTATTAAAACTTAATTGGGAATCATATATAGCCTACAAAGTCTAGCTCGATAAAGAATGAGGACTTGGGATCTTAAATTAAGAAGTTGCTACCATTTCTAAGGTAGAATTTAATTGAAGAAGCTTAATATTTTCATCCATGCCATCCTTAATTCGTTCAATGCTGTAATACCACAGTACATAGTGGCAATGATGTACGCGTATAATGATCATATTTATGCCAAGGGTCTACTTTTTAAATAGGTTTATGGGCTAGCTAATCTTACATTAGCAGTTGGTAATACTGTTGTAGTGTTTCAGTACTATCTCGAATATTGAATATTTTCTGTTTTTAAATCCTAACGTAACAGTTCTAACATAACATTGTAAGAAATTTCTGCACTTATTGCTTAATTATATCAACAACATTCAACTACATTGAATGTGATTACGGTGTCTTACCTGGCTTTCTAAAAGGCCAATAGACGTATAAATCCAAAGCCGTCCCTCCAAAAGCAAAGCCAAAAGCAGTACTTAATCCGATTATACTTACATTGATACCAGTAAATACTGGAGATATATCTGGGCTAACGCTTTCATCTAAATAAGACCAACCGACTGTAGCGAGAATAGACGTACCGGCACCCAAGACAAATTGACCAATACAGAAAATAAAAAGGTATACTCCTTTGCTTATATTCTGTTGCTGACAGACATTAGGAATCGACCTATTATGTTCCAAGCAAAAATCAGATTGATTGTCGTAAAGCTGATATGAATCTAAAGTGCTGTAACTGGGAGTTACAAGATGAGGCAAAATATAAACGATGCATCCAGCGGCAGTGATGAGTCCAGTTAAACCAAGCCATTTTCCTTTATGAGAATGTGCCGCTTTATGTGATATAATGATACCGAATACTGACTGCGCTATGCTATAGCAGACCGTTGTGCCACCAATATCAGCACTACTCAAACCAAATCCTTTCTGTATAGTGGAAACTATACTTGCATCATAACCAGTGGTGATAAAACCATAAAAAAGTTGACAAATACCAATCCAGAATGCCAAACATAAATGATGGTTAAATACTTGTAACCAATTTGGGTGAAAATTAAAGCAACCAAAACGTTGATCTGGTGGTAACTGAGAGCCTCTACGCTCAGTTTTCTGTTCTTTCATTTCATCATCTGACGATGACCCAAAATTGACTTCTGTGTCCATTTTAACACTCACAATCTCCTAATTACTCCTTCCAATGAAACTGATAATAAGGCTTCAAATTCAATATTAATTTTGCGATTGTAAAAAATAATAATATCCACCAAGCCAATCACAAATCAAAGTTGGGCTCCAGCTCACATTTCCAATATTTCTATCTTTCCTGAATAATGGGATGGTACAACACAGCCTAATTTAAACACCGTCGCTCAATTCGCCGACCCTAAAGCAAATGATAGATGGTCAATATGCCCAATTTTGTCCCAATGTACGTATTCTGATTTTTTTATGCCTTACTTCTTCTATTCAATGCCACAATCTTTGTCGAATATAGTCGTGTAAACAGGGCCCCCTGTTTGAGCACAATGCATGAACTTTCAACCAAGAACAATAAGCCTTATATTAGGGGTCAAATTCTTGGGGGAGAATACGAATAGTACGGTTGCTTGGATCAAGTGCGTGTAAATTCGAAGGTCTAATGCTCATGATCCGCCTGCTTGTACGAGATTAAATTGGATGATCAATCAGTAGGGTTGCTCTAATTATCGAATAAACCTCCATTGGGCCTATTCGCTCAACATTTCGCTCCACATTGGAAACTTGCGACTTAATTGATGAACTAGCTAACTCGATCGATGTACTAGAAAGAATCCATGGACTTGCAACTTCTTTGGACGGACAGACATTGGGCCTACTTTGTCAATAAATTGTGTCCAACACTTCATTATGACCAGTACTTTTGGAAGCAGGCAGTCGATTCTGAATATGGATTGCATTGATCTAAATGAAGTAATATTACGTTGCATTCCATTGTCTCTTACTAAGTTCTGCTTAGAAGCAATCAATTTAGATCATGAACGTTATTCAAATGAATACGATCGATTTAGAAAATAGATACGATAGATCTACACTCTACATTATACTGAGTAAACTGTTTTTCGACATTTTCGCCCTTATCTGAAAAGTCCGTCCATCCGCGGGGAGTTGCAGCTCCAAGTATACAGTATAGTATTTGCTAGTACTCTACTGTCGTCGATGGTACTGTATTGTACAGTACAGTGCAGTACTATGAGATAACAGTACGATAGTTTCGCCCTTATCTGATATGCAAGGTCCGTCCATCCGAGGAGAGTTTCAGGTCCAAGTATACACTACAGTAACTTTAGTATTTGCTAATACTGTACTATAGTCCATGGTACTGTATTGTACAGAATAGTACAGGACTATGAGAAACAGTACCGATGAGTCAAAATCCGTTGACAAAAGTTCATACCCTATCAATAGTAATGAAACTGCGCAATCGCAACGTTGCCTTACAGTACATCCTATACAGTACAATATACAGAAAGTACTGTACTCTACAGTATGTACAGTACATTACCTGCTTGCGGGCATTTCATCATCCGTGACTCGGTCGTTAATGTCTAGCGTCTAAAATGAACTAAAGTATTTCCTGCGAAGCAGTTAGGGTTGGAATTGTCATAGAAGATTGCCGAATAGATGATGTACTAATATAAATAGATAATTAGTATAAAATTGTAAAAAATCGAGAGAAAAGTAATTTCTTTACATTCAGTTCAATACTTGCTAGCATTTGATCATCCGTCACTGAATAATCTGAATGGATGGCTTCTTAAAATGAATGAAGATATTTCCTGTGATACAGTTACGGTGTGTAACAAATCGAAATTTGTAACGAGGATATAGTAAAAACTATTTTATGAGTGTTGTATCGGATTTATCCTCCCTGACATTATCAAGTCCTACTCTAAGCACGGACGATCTCCTATCGTCAGAATGAACAGTAATCATAACCTCTACCTCTTTAGACGAAATGAACCCTAACTTGACGGAAAAACTCAGTCAATTTAAACTAAATCGGCATAAACTTGAATTATTGGTACTTAAAGTAACAAAAGGTGTACTTGTTGTAGATTCCAGTGTGAATTCTAATTATAGTGACAATTAAAACTCAAGACAGCTATCTTATTTCTAATTTTAGCTTTATATTAACGGTAATTATATATAATTAACAATAGAGTGTGAGAATTATTATAATAATTGTATTATTCATAAAATGTTATTAAAATTGTATGTAGTACTAATATAAGGGTAATAGCTGCAGATGAAAAACACCTTAATTATTGAAATTGTGCTGTTTTATAATAAAGAAGAATGCAAAAAAAATGGATTACACTTGAATTAATTTGCTCCAACAAGTGAAAGTTCATCGTAGAATACTCAGATCGAAAGGAATATCTTGACTACAAGCAATATAGATGTAATAATAAGCCGCAATAAACCACAAATGTTTACAGGTCTGCTGACTTGATTCTACTTTTTACTGATTGGATAGTATAGGGTTATGTCCAAAATTTTATCTGCCAAGATATTTTCATCTAAGTATATATCATTGCATCAAATGAAAAATTAATTAATGGTCTTCTGACCATAATGCAAAAGTTTTTACTATTGCATTCTTTCACATTCAGGTAGACGTAGTGTATTAGGATTAAATACCATTGGGTTTGCATAGCTTGCCAAAAAGGATAACGTTGTAATTTTAAAATTAAAATTTTAATTTACCACATTAACATTATACTAAAGTTTCAGTGAATCCGTTCAACTTAGATGTTGTTTCAACCATATTTTGATTTGAACTAGATGGCTTAATAATATTATTTTCCGGCTCCTTTTCATCCGCTTCATGATCATCTTTGATGTTTTCCTTCTCTATTCCAGAGTATTTTTTGATATCACGTTTTAAAAAATACCATGCTAATATCGAAAAAATTGCAGAAAATATCCTCATAGCTAATATAACACCAGCTAATCCATATGCGAGTAACTGATTGTCGTATATCCAACAGAAAGCTCTCTCTCCGTTTTGAACTTCCCACAGAGAGCATGCACCATCGATGAAAGTTCCGAGTAAAATTGGACCTGGAATATTCGCTAAACACTGGATAAATACCCATTGAACAGCGAGAGCTAATGGTCGCTGACTCTCCGGAACGCACCTATTTTGAAAGATAAAATTTTTAATTTTTTACTTCTTAGCGTGTTATATAAATTGTAAGGAATGAAAATGGAGTTTCTATTAACCTCAAGATAACTTGATATGAAGGTATGAGACTGCAATAAACCAAAAATGCAAATATTATTCCCATGATAATAAAAGGAATGAGAGCATTGCATTCTTTTGGACAATAATTCAAAACTACATCCAAAGACTGAGTATGATTTCTCATGGCATTCGTATTAGTGCTTAAACAGCTGCAATTACCAAATACCTGCGCAAATCCAAATTAAAAAAAATAGAGCTAGAGTTATGGAGAGATGGCAATCGGTAATGTAGAATTTATTTTGGCCTCTAATAAAAAGTCTTGAGACCTGTCGATGTCAAGTAAATGTCCTTTGATAAGCAATATTACCATCAAGCTTCGATCATGCTGACATTTAGGATATAACAGGCTGTATTGATTAAATTTTACAATTACCTGCTGTCCGTTATTAAAATCTATTCCTTTAGAGGTACATCCAGCATAACAAGGTGAAAAATACGTGATTCCAGTCGAGAGATCGCAAACAGGCTTGAAAGTTTCGGAATCACAATAACATCCAGAATTACAATTATCTGATAAATTATGTGTCTGTGATACTGCAATTTCGCTGGTGAAACTGTAAAAAGCATAATTCGTAGTTAATGCATACGCATAAATTAAAACATAAGCGAATAATTAAGAACAATTCTTTCCATAAAATGTATCTACTGATTATTTTATAAGATGCTTCCGACGACTGCATAGTACTGAATTAGAGCTTGAGCAAAATCAAATTCTAAATCAGACTATCATAACAAAAAAAGCATTCCCATTTCCGCATGAACATCTATTGAAATAAAAGTGTCTAATATGTTTTTGATAAATAATGACGAATTGTAACTAGCTGACAAAAAATAAGCTTAAGCGAAAGCTAGTTAAGTTTGCCAGTCCACTTTAACTGCTGCAAGTAGTAATTTCAGAATTTCAAGTCAGCAATATTATTTGCAGATGAATAAATTGGGCGACAAAGAAAAATTGAAAGGTTCTGTTGTCGAGACTTTTGGGGTTAAATCCTAAATTTTCGCAGTAATCGGTTAATGGCTTCCCCATCATGAGCAAATAGTTACACCAATTTGTTGTGATGTGTAATGTAATAACAGTAAATGTTAGACTAGCCGATCAGGACTGTTGTAATTATAAAATATAGTTGAAATCTGCTGTACTAGCCTATAACGCTACAATCTACTACTATGAAAGTGATATACTGCAGTAGAGATTAAAATATTAAAGTCTACGGTAGGGTAATTTTATTAGCTAAGCCTTGTTTGAATTAATAATTTAGACAAGTACCATAGTGTACCAATAGAAAGCTTCATTATTGTAAAAAGTAGCGCATAAAATAGCAATGATGAGTCTTGTACTCGGAGTAGTATACGGCCTATATGGTAACGTACTGGAGATCAACCTGTTTATAGCTCGAAACATTGTGATGGTAACTAACTTATAAATAGATTCAATGCTTTAACGAGAATATTTCTTAATCGAATATAACGTACTTAGTCTACTTCATGTTAGCCATTAGATGTATTAAGTCCGTAATTATAGCTGTTTAATCTAGAAATTGTACTTAAAACTATTAACGGCTAGACTGATTTATATGATGGTTGTTGGTACTCATTACCTATATTTTGTTGCTACCGTACAAATTATATAAAGACAACATGTTGCGTACTAATATTAGTTCGTAAGTCTAGTACTTGCTAACTGGTCAAAGGTGCTCAAATTATTGTGATTAGGTAGGATTAAGGATAACTACTTTCAAAAGTTTCTTAATCAGGGTAGTTATACGCGAACTAAGGACAAGTTTAGTGGATTTGGCCTTTTCGTTATCTTATCGTAAAACAAGTTTGAAATAGGCGTACACTGGCTAAAACTTTTGTTTACATAGAATTGTTTCGCTAAATTTAAAAATTATTCAAAGGTAACATTCACTGATATCGTTATTGGCGCTACACGGACCAAACTCGGACATAAGTAAATCTATCGCCAGTAAAAAAAACGCATAAACACTAGGAAACACTTGAACAGTTTTTATAGAGTATATCTAGATAGATTGACAAAGTTTTAATGCATGATGTGGCTGATGTATATCTGATCTATTCGTTGTTAAGCCCGCTGAAAACAGACTCAGTACATAATCAGATTGATAGCCTGATAATAAATCGATCTATCAAGTCGTATCAATTTGTCACATTTTCTTTAATGATGTCATTATATTGCATGGTTTGGTGTCTATATTGATTACTAAATGATCTGAATAGGCGTAGACTGCCAGCTGAGTGACAATCATATAATACAGTGTTCGAATTGTTTTGTGAAAGTACGGTGTGACAGGGAATATGATGAGAATTAACGTTTGATAATTGATTCAGACTAATAGAATTTTTGCAATGGCTGAAGCAATTAAATCTAATTATCTTGGCATTCTACTATTTATGCTTAATTAAGAATTATATCGCAATAGCATTAAATATTGAAAGGCGCTGATACATACTTATGATATGGAATATTGACTCCAGCTATCAAAGTTCTCGGACATACTGCAATAAGAAACGCTGCTACCGTAACTGTACTTAATGTAGTAGAAATGGCTGCAAACTTGGCCAAGCCTAAAACTTTCAATTTCTTGTACTTCATGTATCCTCCTCCCTAAGCATTGAATAATTTAAGTTACAACACAAGCTTCAATTACAGCATCCAGGGCAACTTATAAGTTGACTGAAAGGTTTTAAAATGAAATATTAAGATACCAACTACCGTATCTAACTTATGGATTCTTAAGCCATAATAAACACTTATTTATGAAGATGTAGAGTTGTACACTACACACTATCAGTATATTCCCTAGCACATAACGGCTGTAACTAGGTGAAATAGTTGCGCTGCAGTTACTAGCATAAGACATTATCGCAATGAAAATGTAATACTAATTGTACAACTAGTTGAAATTAAATCTTACCAAAACAATACCAACTAGCATTCCTACAACAATCATTATTCCAGTATACATGCTGGCAGATGAAGCTAGTACTCCATACTGAGATTCTATATACTTAGGAAAAAAGACTCCAACGCCCGCTAGCACAATCAAGTTGCCCACCAAATTTAAGACAGTGCACATAAAGGGCATGTTAAGCAATAAATCCTTCAAGGATGGGATTAAATCTTTTAAAGTTTTACTTTTATAACGATCAATTTTTGATTTGCCTTCGGCTTGCTGCGCACGTTTCATTTTATAATACTCATAATTCGGTAAATGGCGTGGCAGAGCTAAAATTGGGAAAGCCATCAAGATTATGATCGCTGCTATTACAATATAACCTAACCACCAAGCACCAATCCAATTTGGATTATCTATTGTTAGGCTTGGATCTAAAGATATAGGACATAATATTAGTAAGAAATGTGAGGTTTGCGTCAAACTTTTACACACTTTGGCCAATAAACATGCTACTGACACTTACCAGAAACTTCAGCAGGCCAATACACGTATAAATCTAATGCAGTGCCACCAAATACAAAACCTAATGCAATTCCAAGACCTAGTAACGACAAGTTAATGCCAGTATATAAAGCAGATACCGAGGGACTAACGTTTTCATCTAAGTATGACCAGCCGATTGATCTTAAAATAGATGTACCAGCGCCAATAACAAATTGGCCAAGACAAAAAAGAAATATGTAAAGACCCTTTTGCGATGCCTGTTCCTGATCAGTAAGTGGAGACGGTTTGCTAGTCGAAGAGCAAATTCCATAACTTTGGTTACCATTTTGGTAAGAACTCAGTATACCGTAAGATTTTGTTACAAAATGTGGTAATGCGTATATAAAGCATCCGATTGCAGCAATAATTGCAGTTATGCCTACCCATCTTCCCTTATGAGAATTAGCTGCTTTATGCGATAAAATAACGCCTAAAGTAGATTGTGCAACACTAAAACACACAGATATGCCACCAATGTCAGTACTACTTAGTCCAAATCCTCTCTGTAAAGTTGATACGATGCTAGATTCGTAACCTGATGTGACTGTACTAAATAAAAGTTGACAAACGCCTATCAAAAATGCTAGCCACTTGCGATTATTAAAAACCTGTAACCAATCCGGGTGAATATTAAAGCATCCGTAACGTTCTTTCGTTCCCAACTCGGTGTTGTCAGTATCTTTGGTACTATCAATTGCTCTTAATTTAGGCGATTTCGAAGATGATTTCTTCTTCTCCATCTTCGTGATCGGTAACACGAATCAACAAGTAGTGCGAAATATCAACTGAACAAAGTAATATAGAGACCAAAATTCATTATCATTATAAAGCAACAATAATAGCAAAATCTTATAAATACGTCAATCCATCCAAATTTGAATACACTATCCAGCGGAGAGGAATAAATTATTTAATTATTATTTAGCGAACAATGAAGCTAGCGATTTGGATTGTTAACACAGAATATAATTGGAGTTTCTGTCAGCAACAAGAAAATGACCTTTGCTTTGTAAAGTACTTTAACTCTTTTCTGACGACCATATAATCTTACGAAATAAGAAGACGTCATAAGCTATGTAAATAAAACTAAATAAGCTTTAACTTGAATAGTATATTAAAATAAAATTAATGGAGTTAATATGATTTTAACTAGATGGTGGTGACTAATATATAATACTATTTACATTAACAAGAAACCTGATTCCAACATCATAAATTTCGATTCTAATTCTGCATGAGCATGCCTGTAATATGCCTAGATTGATAACAAAGATCCCATTCAATTTTCAATCCTGTGTCTAATCTATTAAAACTGGTCATCCAATGAAAAGAAATGCCCTATCTGCATTAATCCACGCCTTTAATACAGGTATGATTTGGATGGGTATAGTCTAGGCTGATACACCGGTACTTTATATAAATTTCATTATCTCATTGTCACAGCTGCAGTCGTAGCTCACACAATTTTGCTTTTTTATTGCATACTTAGTCCAATATTGAGGACTACCAAGTGTCTATAATCCCTATAATCTAGAGAAACTACCTTATGAAGCAAATCATAAAAGCTATTCTACGTTTTAAGTAAAAATCTTGGCTAAAAAAAGGGCTTCTACTACGGCTTCCTTAATTTAACCTAAAGCCAGTTAGCGGGCTACTGCATGTAACCCTATCACGATCTCACAGATAAATTTCTTATCGCAGCTATTACAATGTCACCAAAACTCTATTATATTCATCGCACTCACAAATCCTATTACTATTTACACGAATACATGAACTTAAGATGAGGTGAGAAAACAAGCTAAAAGGAGTCATTTAATGAGGGTGACAATTGAGCGAAATTTTTCAAACACATTATAAATTTAACCCAATTAAATACTGCCTATATATTGAAAAAGCAGAAAAAATTAATACGGTTCAGTATGAGAGCTTTATTAGTGATCAATCTTTTCTAAAAGTTGTTTTATCTACGCACTAGCTAAGCTACCGTCATTTTATTATAGCTAACGAAATTCCTTAAACGTCTAACATATTAGTGAAAGAGACGTAATTATTAAGACATTCAGCTGTACTACCAAAATTAAACCAAGAATGGGGATGCTACAAATCTCCTTTGTAATAAGAAACCGGGTCTTAAACACCATCTTCACTGGTACTCATGTTCCCAGCTAACTTAGGGACCTATCGTAGTTGAACTAACTCTCAGCTACACAAATAAGCTACTAAGGAGTAATAGGTTTAAATACTTCACTTTATTTTCGTTAAACTTAGTCGTAAAATGTACTAAAGAAAAACGTAAGAATATTCTTAGCAATAATAGTCAAAAGATCCTGCAAGTGACCAACTGGAACTGAGCAGCTAAGCTAGTGCTCGGCTTTTTATAGTCTCGGCCAACGCCGATGGTACACTTGTGAATATTCTTGACATAGCGACTTACACAGTACAGTATACATATCCTAGTGTAGCAACTAGAGCCTCAAGGTTCTGTAAAGTAATTGACCTTACACTTAATGTGTTATTAATTAACGTTTACTGACTAAGCGTGTTAGCTCCGACACGTCAACAATATTGAACTTTCTGATACCTTGGCAATAACAAGTACTTATTAATAAACATTAATATCTAATAAGCTATAGAAGCAAACAATAATTTAAATCAGATATTTTAATTAACATAGCAATTAATATTTCGGAGCATGGCTCCATAACAGGGGAAAAAATTACATATATAATAGTAGCACAATAATTTCTGCAATTTATCATATACTTATGGCTGTATTGCACGGGTTGCTAGCCCTAGGTTCGTAATCCGTCACCTCAAAATTCTAAGTTGTTAAAATCGAGAAAATCCCTAAGGCGACACAAAATAGTCAACACCGTATAATTGACTTCTAACAGTCAAGTTTTTTTAACGTCCGTGTGTCTTACGTTAGCGAAGAATTCCAATTTCATCGCCTCATATTAGCAGTCGAAATGGCTAAGATAAACCGGATAATCGACTTAGCCTCCACGATACTATACAATTTTACAAATTATCATCAATTGCTCCTCTACATAGGAGTCATCAATCACATTAGTGCAGTGCTGAATAACAGTACCTAATATGGCTATCAGCTACGGCATTATATAGTTCTTTTATTTATAGATAATTTCATCGGATGTTCGTGTATTTAAACAATTGGTTTTTCTTTTATGAGAGTCTTTTCTGCTATATTTTAGAAAGAGCCCATTATGAAATATTTGCTGCAAAACGTAAAAATAGTCTATAAAATTTTTTATTAAATGCGGTACTACCTTAACTATGAGCTTCCTGGCGTTAACCGTTAATCGGTGAAATAAGAACGACATTAAGATACTTGACTTTTATCCGAACAATTTACGGAAACATAGATTCTATAGCTTTAATTAAAAATAAAATCTTCATCTATAACACTTTTAAAGTTCCATGCATAAATTCAGTATCAAATTCGATTAGTAGATTCTCCAATATTTTAAACTGTAGCACCTACATAGTAATCATATAAAATAGTTCGTAAAATTTATCTAATAATAATTCCTCTTATCGTATTTGTAGTGTATTTAGAATATACTGTAACTATATTCTACTCTTAAATATAGACATGTTGTATTGCTCTTATATTTAGACAGATCTACAGTCCGCTTACTCTACATTCATATATAGACTACTGTATTTAGTTATTACGGTACTCGCTGTTTTCTACAATCATCTGCTATTTTGTAACCTGTTATGGTATATGTTGTACCTAATTCCACAATCCTATTCTCTGCATGTGCTCTATCTTTAAAACTATAAATACCGGCGATTTCTACCTCAGAGTTCATTAGCCTCTCAGTTAGTCTTCTAGTTAGTCTCTCACAGTCTAATACTTCTACTCGTTACTCACGACAGCTTGCACGCTGATCTACCGTAACTACCTCACTGTACTTCACTTTACTAACCTACAATAAAGCATAACTTTTATAAACCCTTTGTTGTAATAATTGTAAATGGCGACTAAATCTCAATCCTCTGAGATAGCGAACCCTCCATCACAGTATTAAACAATTGCACGAGATGCTAATGGTACTCGGTATAGGTTTAATTTAGAAATCCACGACATGAGAATAAAGTCGACTGTTTTAGCCTTAAACTATCTCTCGTAGTATACCACATATTGGATCTCAATCCGATGCATTTATTTTACAATTTCATTGTATTCCTGTAATTTTAATTATGAAACTGATGATAAGGGATCATAGTAGCACTTTTTAAACCATTTAATGAATTCCCTTTTAATATCTAAATTAAAAGCGATGGAAAATATAGGATGCAATATAATATATATCATCGATACTACCCGAGCTATCATTACCGGTAAGACTAGAGTAGAATTCCGAGTTGAAATTAAATAAATATATAAAACAACAAATGGAAAGAACGCAATGAATGACACACCTAGAATAGCTCCCATTTGACATATAGATTTTCTACGATTTAATACACGGTAATTAATTGGATTTCCTTGACTACTGGATATAGAAGATGGCCACAACTTTAGTGAAAATAAACCTGTTTTACAAATAACTGCTATATGGATCAAAATAGCTAAAATTGGTGGAAAGATGAGCATTAATGGTAATATGCAAACATTGTAAAGGACATTTTCATAAAATTCTATAGACCAAGAAATGCAGTCTTTCCCGGTCACAGAAAGATCAATTATCAACGGTAAATAAGTAACGCAAACGGGAATAGACCAAATTATCGTTAAAACTACGATCATGTTTCTCTTTATAACGAATCTTTGGTATTTAAATGGATGAGTAACGGCATAGTATCGCTCAGTACTTATAGCAGCTACATGTATATTTATAGCACCCATCAAACATATCTCGGAGGGTTTTCCAAAAATGCAAGTAACCAAGTATCGGCGAAGTGGCTCAACAGTAAATGTAGATATTAATTCAGTTGAAATCAATAACAAAGATAGCACAGTAGTAGCTATACAACTACTATATATAATAGCCTTAGAGGATTCTCTTAAAGATGCCGTAGTCAAAAACAGATAAAGTAGTAATGCATTTGGAATGAGCGATAGGCTTGCCACGATCGTTGATCCTTGAGAGATTGAAATAGGCAGCGTAATATTGTAGATATGTAGAATAAAATACTGATCCATAGTCTATTGAACTTATAAGCAGTTAAGATATGAACGAGATCTTCTTCAAATCAATTACTTTTAGTATATTACCGAAGATTTTACTTGATGATTATCGAAATAATCTAAAAAGCGACGTAAAGAAGCTTGAGTCATCTAATATATATCGAAATTTATCTACATGAAATATCTATGAAACGATTCTTTTAAGGGCCAGCTGATGTACATGCATTGCTTTTAAATAACTACAATCGGTAACCAAAAATTCCAAAAGGAGGATGGAGTATATTACATCTCGAGTTATCGCTATAGCTTCTGCTAACCAACAGCAAATCTAAATTCGAATTGTGAAATTAACATATATAAATTGTTTACTAGAGTTAAATAAGTAGTAAATAAAATTACTCAGAAATTACAAATTAACACAAACTTAAAGGCTCTAAGCAGTCATCATTCGATTATAACAGTGATATTAAGTATCGTAAATGAAAATCATTCGAAACATATGAGTAATCATTATGCAGACTAAAGCCATTAGTAAAGCTTATCAATAAAATGATAAATACTTTACATCGATACCGG